CCCTCAGAAGCCCATGGAGGGTGGCATGAGGATCGAGGTCAAGGGCATCCTTCGGAAGCTCATGGAGGGTGGCATGAAGACCGAGGTCGGGGGCATCCTTCAGAAGCTCATGGAGGGTGGCGGGATGACCAAGGTCGAGGGCATCCTTCGGAAGCTCATGGAGGATGGCATGAAGACCGAGATCGAGGGCATCCTTCAGAAGCTCATGGAGGGTGGCGTGATGATCAAGGTCGAGGGCATCCTTCGGGAGCTCATGGAGGGTGGCATGATGACCGAGGTCGAGGACATCCTTCAGAAGCTCATGAAGGGCACCCAGGTGATCAAGGACAAGGGCATCTCTCAGAAGCTCATGACGGGTGGAAGGGAGGCCAGGCCCATCGTGATCGGGCAGGAGCTCCAGGAAAAGGGCATGCCGGGTCGGGTCGGCATGAAAAAGGAAGGGAAGGTGAGGTTCCGCGAGGAAGGTACCCGATCTATGGAGGTGGTGGAGCCCGAAGTGGAAAGGGGGTTTCTCGAGATCGCGGAGAAGGGGGCCGAGAGGGAAGTGGGCATCGTCCTTCGGTGCCGGGTGAAGGCATACCCCCAGGAGGACGTGGAGGTGCTGGATCCTCGGAGGTGAACACGACGGGCAAGGAAGCGAGGGCATCGGCGAGGGCAGGTTTCAGACCAATGGAGCTCCGCATGGTGTGGAACCCAGCAACAAAGGTGTGGGTTCCGGAGGGCAACCTGCCAGAAGGCCTGAAGTATGAAGATGATGAAGAACTCATTCCAGGGGAAGGAGGAGGAGAGGAGGAAATGTTTGACGTGCAGGAGGCCATGGAAAAGCAATTGCTGTTGGCTTGCCGCATGATCAGGGGGATGGAGATGGAAAGGGACTACCTTAAGGGGACCATCGCGGAGAAGGACCGGCTCCTGGAGATGCGAAACCGCACGGTCAACCAGTTCCTGGGGCAGGTCCGAGAGGCGGAAGGCCAGCTTCGAGAAGCGCAGGATGAGGTGTCAGCTTGGAGGTCTTGGTGGAACCGCTGGGAATGGGACGGCTCTCAGGGGAGGAGACAGGAAGGCGAGTGGAACGCGAATGAGTTTCACACGCCGATGGAGACAGGAGAGAGACACGGAGATGGTGGACGCCGGGATCGAACGAGGTCACCACACCCACCTCCGTATCCACCGAGGCCAAGGACGCCGGATAGGAGGCCAAGGACGCCGGATTGGAGGCCAAGGACGCCGGATAGGAGGAGGACTCCAGGAGGCACAGAGGTTCCGGGCGGGACGCCACCGGTCTCGGGAAAAGGAGGTGGAGTTCTTCGCTTGGAAGGGGGAGGTGGTTATGCCAGGGGAGAAGAACCAAGGGAAGGAGGGCTGTACACCTGGGAGAAGGACTTCGAGACGGGTGGCTTGAAGATGGTGCCGGCTATGAGATCCGGAGATGAGTGGGCGTTGACGTGGGATAGATCAGAGGAACTCGAGCGGCAGGTTCCAATGCCGCCCCCGGGTTTGGATGTCAAGGCCATTGTCGCCCCGGAGCAGGTGCACGAGAACGTTGCGGAGACCAAGGGGGTGATGGACTCTTGGCCGGAAGATGTCAAGGCGATGTTGGCAGCAGGGCAGCTTAGGGAAGAAGCGATAAGGGCTGCGGAATTGCCGAAGTTGCCGGAGCTAGGGGCCAAGGAAGCGGGGCCACTGGCGGCGGGGGACTGGCTAGCGGAGATCCGACCGATCATGATGGACCTTAGCGCGAGCGCGGCAGTGTGGTGGGAACACATCATGCACCACTCGGAGAAGGCTTATCAGAGGTGGCTGGATATGCGGCCGGTGGAGAGGTTGAATGTGGTACCGGAAGAGCCGGGATGGCTGGGAAAGTATCCTTTCTCCAGGGTGGAGCAGAGAGGGGCCGGGCTTTTGCTTCGGGCGTTGCCTCAGAGCTTGAGGCAGGAGGTGGTTTCGAGGCGGACGATGTCAGCAGCCGGTATGGTCTTCAAGGTCTTGACGATGTATCAGCTTGGGGGGCCAGCGGAGAGGCAGAGCTTGCTCAACTACCTGGTGGAGCCGAAGGTGAATGGCAACACGGTCCCGGGGGAGGTGCTGGCAGCGGTTAGACAGTGGAGGAGGTGGTACATTAGAACCACGGAGCTGAAGCTGGCAATGCCGGACCCGTCGCTGCTGTTGAGGGCGCTGGATGGCATGACCAACGGCATTGCGAAGGAAGGGAGCCAGGTACACTTTCGGCTGAGCTTGTTGAGGAATAGCCTTGGGGTGGATGTTTCCCCGACGCAAGAAAGCATTGTGCAGTTGGCGGAGTTTATTCAGGCAGAAGTGGAGGTGATCGTCGCCTCTAAGCCAGAGGAGAAGGGCCCAAAGGTGAAGAGCATGAGACAAGCAGAGGCGCAAACCCCGCGGAAGGACGGAGACAAGAAGGTCTGCGGGTTCTTTGCGGGTGGGAGAGGTTGCAAGATGGGAAAGAACTGCAACTATAGCCATGACTGGTCGGCGATTGACC